TTTCCGTCTAAACCGTGGTCAAAAATGCATGTTTGGATTGGGGGATGTTTCGGGGGTATGTCTCGGGGTACGTTTCGGGGTATGTTTCCGGGTATGTTTCGGGGGTATGTTTCTAGGCATGTTTCGGGGTATGTTTCGTCGTACTAGGCTCTTGACGAAAGGTATGTATCGGAGAGGTCTAAGATGCTCCTTTTCATGAATTCCTCCCCAAACCCTAAACCCTAAACCAATTAATGGAATATACAGAGCCATATGAGAAGCGCATTACAGATGATGCAACGCCCGCCTCCTGAAGTGACACCATGACGAAGGGAGTGTAGTCCTCCTCCTTCAAGCGCCCTGGACCAAGCTTTAGGGTTTAGGGGTTAAGTCTCAGGGTTTTGGGTTTTCGGGCTCAAGGTTTAGGGTTCAGGGTTGAGGGTTCAGGGTTTAGGGAATTCAAGAGGAACCGGCACTCTAGGCCTGAAGATGGAAGGATATTTTGAGCTCTCTGAGCCCCCCAACCTCAGATTTGTTCCAAGTTTCTAGGGCGATACGTCAGAGTCCGGTGCGCGGATGGCATCTAAGACTATTTAAATCATTTCGTCTGCTACAGTGGCTCAGAGTACAAGGAAGTCGTAGGCTGCTAGAATCAGACTTCTTCAAGCTCTAGACATGCCACGTGCACACTAATCGTTCTCAATGGCTAAATAGCCAAATTTCAAAAGAACAGACTTGTTTCCAATTCAAGCGCACCACTACGGCAAATAGGGAAAGCTTGAAAAGTGGCCTCGGATGTCAATCATGTCCAAGTTGGTAGGCAGCCTGCACTGAGCAGCATATGTTTTGGACATAGGTTTTGGTTCAGGATTTGGATCTAGGGGCGACATGCAACCAAGGACTGTGAAAGGTCAAAGTTGACGAACATGCATCGCACAACAAGGCTGAGTGTCCAGACTGTCTGATCATACCTTGTGACAGAATCAACAGCTTGGTTTGGGAATTGGAGATCATGTAGAGACTACTGGAAGGATCCATTCCCTCAGCACCAGGCAGCAAACCCTGTGCTCAAGTAAGGCTACTTGATGCCTTCATGAAGCACGGCCCCTACTAGGATACTTGCTCAATATGCCGGGGAGTTTGCAGCGTTCATCAAATTGTCCAGGCTGCGCCACGGTCCGGAATAAGTAGGAAATGGCTCTGCAGACTCAAAAACCCTAAGCCCTACACCCCTACATCCGCATACCCCAAACCCGGAAACCTAAACGCCTTAACCCTGAATCCCTATGCCCCACACGCGGAACAAAGCGACTGGGAGATGGACTTTGGCATACTTGCAGTTGCATAATTACTTTAAGGTTGGAAGTATGGGCCCATAAGATGGGCCCTTAGACCTCTTAGAAGGATTCTACGGACCCTTAAGGGTACATAATATAATATGGGGTATAGAATAGGTATATAAGAATCCCAGGGTTAAGGGCCCATACTAGGGGCCCATGGCTTCAAACCTTCGAATTACCCATAGCCGAACAGTTTTCTACTGAATGAGGTAAAACTCTCTAAAGCAGTGGAGACATTGTGGCCCACATTACCCTAGGAAGAAAAAGGATCCTTTTAACGTAAATGTAAGGAACCCCATACCCCCAAGAGTGTAGTGGATCCCTAACGTTGATCCAGGAATGTGCGGGCTTCTTCATTCACATTAGGGACTGTCAGCTATGACCCTAAACCCCTAAACCCTAAACCCGAACCCAAACCCGGGCTCTGGCATAGTTGGGGTGGATCTTGTTATGATATACCCAAAGCCATATTCTATCTACTTAAGCGGGACTATAACTATCCTCGTGCAGATGCGATTTTTGGAGCCCCAAATAACGCAGGCTGAGAAGCTTGGTCAGGTAGTTTGTGATGATCGGCTGTGCCAAGGAGATATCTCCAGATCCTCCGCCACCACCACCGCCAGTAATCTCCTTAAGCCAAGTTTAGGAAGTATTCCAGAAGAAAGGGGCCCACTTGGTCCCTTTCAAGGGGCTATAAGGATATGTAGGGATTGACAGTGTTTGGGGATTAGGGTTTCGGCTTGGGCTTGAAAAAGGAGGCCCTTAGAGACCTTGGGGATGCATGAAAGGCTACCGTGGGATCTTCAGGATTCAGGATTCTATCCAGGACTCTTTTGAGAATTTCTCCATATAGGGTTGCAGAGGTTGGGCAGAATTTGGGAGGTTGCTTGGTATTCGACGCCAGCTAAGCTAAGTCCTGGCCTACCTACCAGGTACTCCTTAGACCCTAAACCCCTAGACACTAACTCCTTGCCTCGGGCGATGCACTACTTCTCAATGGGCTCCGGGTTCCAGGGGCTTGGGTGTGGCAGAACACGTCAGCGTAGCTTCTGCCTTCTGTTGTATCCCAACATGTTCCTTACCCAGATGCAGGCTGCAAGTTCCTATGTACGGAGCACCCTCACCTCAAGCAGGATGAAACCTGTAAAGACCTTTGTCCTTGTCACAAAGGCCTACATGGGGTTGCTTAGTTTGAGCCTCGTTTGAGGGAGATCCCTTTCCGACATGATGTGTGTATTAAAGCAAAGGCCCAGGACAAAGGTTAGGCGGAACTACTGGTTGTCTACAATGTCTACAACCCTAAACTCAAAACCATGCTACTTCTTGCAGAAACTTTTGCTCCAACACCAGCAGAGATAGCCAAGAGTTTGGGTGGTGTGCCTCTCTGTCGGTATACGCAGGAACCCTACTCCAGACGAAGGGCCTTCCAGGAATAATTCACCACTGGGAGACCCCTGAAGATTGCGACTGCTCATGGTAAAGCCGTCCAACAAATAGGCTCCTAGGGTTTAAGGGGTAAGCTGGGTTTAGGATGCAGACCCTAACCCCCAAACCCTGAAGCCCAAACCCTGAGCCCTAAACCACAAGTGCTCTAGGTCTCGAACCCCAAATGAGTCATGCCAGGAACCTTGTGTTCAGGGTTTAGGGCTATGGGTTGAAGGTTTCGGGTTTAGGGCTGAGGTATATTGAGTCGTGCAAGGAAGCTCGGGAAAGATAGCAAGTCCCACAATAAGCTGAACCAAGCTAGTGCTCAAGACTCCATACCAAAGTTATCATCCACTTTTACAAGAATTTCAACAGCTTCTTCTGAACCAACCTGAGTAAGGCCTCGAGCCGGAACACGCCAACTTCTTTCAAAGACTTTAAGTTTGTA